CTTGATTTCTATCAATGGAGTCTCGTGGTTTTCTTTCCTAATTATTCAACGGAGGAGTGCTGACAGTTGGAAATGAAGCTAAAAGCAACCTTGCCTCACAGCTTCCATTATCTTAGCAAAAGCAGAATTTGTGAAAAGCATTCAGCAAGTTCATAAATACCTCTGGCTCCATGAATGTGAGCCAAAAAAAACCAAAACCTTGCCTCAAATTTGGAACACAAAGTCAGCTTTCTTATGTCAGTCTTCCCCAACCAGAATACCTCCAGCCATGTGACTTAAATTCCCTGAATTTCTCAGACTGCTGAAAATTCTGGGAGTCCCAAAAGTGGTCAAATATACATCCACACGACGTGCTGAACTACAAACTAGCCAACCACAAACAAACCTACTACGTTGCGCAAAGCCAGCCGGTGTGGCTACTTCAATATTTTGAATGTTGTACAAACTTAGTAAATTAGATAAACCGATTGAACAGTTAACTAGATATAAGAATTCGCTTCTGAACAACAACCACTGGGCAACGTTTTCACCACCTATTTGAAAAGCATTTAAAAGAAAATAGCATCTTAAATGCCAATGGGGTAAAACGAACCAAGTAACGCAGAAATGTGCAAAAATATTTCGGATGCTGCAGCTGTTAATATTAGCATAAATAAATCCTCTCCCTTTCTCATTCTCAAGGGATATAAGATCACGATTGTTACTACGGCAATTGGGACCAGGAATTTCTGTTGCTAAGCAATGTGGCTGTAATGTATGTCACATGACCACAATGCTTAGTGATGGCAATCCCTGTAGACTCCATTCCCGCTGTTAAGCAAGGATAGTGGGTTGTTAAGGAAGTACCCCCTCACAACTTCCTGATGGCTTCCAACAAAGACAGTGGGGAAACCGGCAGGATATTGCAAGTGCCGGGCGGCTCATAAGCAGGCTGGCAGGCAGGGAAATGGCTGTTGATGAGTGGGAGAAGGAGCAAAGGCAATAATATATATATTGTACTGAATATATATTTATTGTATGTATGTATGTGTGTATGTGTGTATAGATATAGATAGATAGATATAGATAGATATATATAGATGTATATAGATAGATATATAGATAGATATAGATAGATAGATAGATAGATAGATAGATAGATAGATAGATAGATAGATAGATATAGATAAATATAGATAGATAGTGATAGATTGATTGATAGATATAGATATATAGATAGTTATAGATATAGATATATAGATATAAAATAGATAGATAGTTATAGATAGAGATAGATAGATATATAGATATATAGATATAGATAGATAGATAGATATAGATAGATATATAGATAGATATAGAGATATAGATTGATAGATAGATAGATAGATAGATAGATAGATAGATAGATAGATAGATAGATAGATAGATAGATA